AGTGAGGTTGTGCATTCTTTATCTGTTGGAATTTTTTGTTTGTCCTTCTGATAAAGACCATGTATCTTTCATAGACAAGTTTATGTTCTTTCTGATAGAATTTGGTAATTTTGAGTCATACCCATGGGGTATCAAATCCTTTAAGCAGATTATTGAATATGTCCGACATTGTCTTAATCCCCATGTACATTCTTATCTGATACGGGGATGCTCATTAGCCTTGCAAGTGTGGTTATATGAGTGTTGCTCGTCCGTCAGTACGGAGCTTGCTACGAGGTGTTCTGAATCTATACCTCGCATTTTAAGATGGTCAGCTACAAATGGCCAGATTTGGTTAACTGCAATTGAAGAGAAGATGATCAAGCCTGAGTGGCTCAAGGTATATTTTTTCACTTTTGTATGATGCTACATTTACCTTCATAATAACTACAATTAATCTACATTTTTTTATTTACTTGAACTAACTGTTATTTCCATCATTCAGTTCACAAGCATCACTGAATCTGGAGAAGAGATTGGAGTGCTTAATCTGCCAGACAAGATTCAGTATGAAGATGCACATGGTGCTCAATCATCACAGGTTCCAATTGCTGCTTCTCCAACATTTGAACCCAAAGATACAGATTGTCAAGAGGACACTGAATCTGTGACTAGCAAGCTCAGGAAGTTGGAAAAGGGGATTGAGCAGGTAATATAAATAACTACAATATAAAGACATTTTTTGCTACAATTTAACTTCATTCCATAACAATTATTGTATGTTATACATTGTAGTTAATTTGTGGTATAATTCTATATTGAGCCCTGTTGGTATTGCACAAATCTTTGTTAAATTGTAGTGGAATTGTAACACTTTGAATAAGATTACCAACTAATTATATATTTAATTTTTAGGTTGATGGAAAGTTAGCTGAATTTAGGAAGACTGTTTTTAAGGAACTCTTAAGCCTTCAAGAGTTCATAGATGTTTCTGTGAAGAGTGTTATGAAGGTGATAAACAGGAGGTACGATGTGGACGAGTCAAAGGTAAGAATTGATATATATTTTTGTAGTAAAACTAATTATGACATATGAATCAAATATACTCAAACATACCCAAAAATTGTAGTTTGTTGGTAGTTCAACCAAAAATAATGACCAACAACAAGAAGAGAACAATCAACAATTTCAGTTCAATATTGGTGATCAAGTGCATGCAAGCACAAGCAATACAGGTATTTATAGAATTCCTTCAGACATATCTACAAACTTCAAGACAGCATTATCTAATTATTATAACCCCCTTTTCACTATGTTTTGCAGCTGCTATTTCTCCGGAACATGTTCAAGCACATGTTGACTTATATCCTGATTTTCAAGAAGTAGCTGGGGCATATAAAGCAGGTATACTATCATACTTTCATTACAATAAGGTTACAATGCAAAATTTTTATAATTCACACTTTAACTACAAATTCCCACATATATCTACAATTTTCATTTTTTAAATTATTCATTCAAGCTGAAGTTTCAACAGAACATCTCCAGGCACATGTTGAGGAAGAACCAGAATTTGAAGGAGTAGCTGAGGCACAACAAGCAGGTATAATATCAGAAGCTCATTATATTCACTTTATATCAACAATATTGTGCATAACTACATATTTAAACATTTATCTTCAGAAGCTGAAGTTTCTCCTGGGGGTGTGCCAGCAATGGTTGAGGAAGAACCAGGATTTCAGGAAGGAGCTGAGGTAGAAAAAGCAGGTATAGTATCATAATATACTTTTGAAGTAGTAAATTTTTGCTTATACAAATATACAATGCTGTTAAGTATGTTATTTTATATGTAACAGATATTGAAGATAATGTTCCACAGTCGTCAATTCATGGTGTGACTGTGAATGAAGTTGTTCCTGAAGGTTCAGGCATTGACAAGAAAGGTCCGACATTGGATGACTTTGAGTTGCCAGACAACTTAACACAATTGGTCATGTATGGCGAGACCATACCAGATGAAGCAACCCCTATTCATCCGGGTAGAACCAGGCAACCGGGGAAACATGCACGATCACCTTTCACACCTCTATATAGTTCTGGAGGCAGCACCTCTGTCGGACCTAAATTTTTCTACCTCAAACACCCCTTCACAACTGTTATAGGTGAAAATGTAGATGTTGATTTGATAGAAAGGTTCACCAACTGGTTATACCTTCGTAGTGACAAAGTATCTAAGAGGTATGAATGCTTAATTTTACACTTTCATTTCACCATTTTTAAACTTTAAATATGTAATTCATTCTGTCATTTTTTTTATTTGATATTTTTTTGTTATTACAGGAGGAAAGAATACTTTTCCAAAAAGGATAACCAAATCAAGCCTTGGTTAGACTTTGGTTGTGAAAAGGTGTATAAGAAGGACTGGTTTTATGCCCTTGCTCACCCAGGACAAGTCATCAATAACACGGTAAGTATAAAGAACAGAATCCTTCACAATATGTGTTTTGTCTTCAGCTGTGTAGTGTAATTGTAGTTATATTGTAGTTTTGTCTTCAGCTGTGCAGTGTAATTGTAGTTATATTGTAGACAAGATATATAGGTTACTATGTTTTGTCTTCAGCTGTTGAATTTGTTCCTCTGTATAGTAGCTAAAGTGTAGCAATCTGTTAGATTATTTGATTAGTTCAAATTGTAGTTTAAGTTGTAGCTGTTATGTAGATAATTGTGGTTACTTTGTATCTTATAGTAGACTTTATTTTATTTTGCAACACATTGATGTTATTATGTATTATTTGAGAAAAAGAGGCAAGTATGGCCCCAACAACGACACTAGGTTCACAACAACCGATTGCTTGTTCAGGACTAAGATTGAACGAATATATGACAAGTTCAAAATTTCTCCACCATAACTTAAGTATTCCGTTGTTAAATCAGATGATGATGTTGCAGAATATATCCTTGGGTATAGGATTCTTGCTAATGTTGCCTGGGATGTAGTTGACTATGTCATCATGTCTGAGAACATTGTAGAGAATTTCCATTGGTTGTTGCTCGTTTTCGACATACGGACAAGCAACTTTATGTTTATGATTCCATGGTGTCTTCAAACCGTCATAATACTGTTGAATCATTGGTTGATAAGTTTTCAATCATTATCCCTCTGTATTTGTCTTGCACTGGTTTCTACGGGAAACGTAATGACATTGACTTCAAGACCACAAAGGCATACATTGAGAAACCAGTTACAACCCCTCTCAACATACAGTGGATGGTTGCGGAGATTCCACAACAAAAAGAAGGATCACTGTAAAAAAAAACTATTCTCCCTTTCTATATGTTTAATTATTTTATTTTAATCAATTGTTACATAATAAAAAAATTTGATCTTATGCAGCGATTGTGGTGTATTTGTGGCGGCTTTTGCGGAGTATGTTAGCCTTGGAGATTTGGCAATCCCAAAAGAAGATCTTTCTGATATCGACCAACACCGTAGACGCTATGGAGCTCTACTATGGGACTATGCTACAAAGAAGCAAGAAGATGGGTCAATCAGTGAAAGTGAGGTTACAGGCAGGCTGGTAAGGAGGAAGGGTGCTCCTGCTAAAAATGAGAGGACTAGAGTACAGAGAAAGAAGAAATAGAGTCTTGTGTTCCTAGTTTAGTTGATGTCATTTTGTAGTTGAAGTGGAATACACTGTAGGAAATATGTCATTTTGGTTGTTTACAACACTTTATCTTCATTACATTAAACTCGAGTACTCTGATTTGCTAGAATACAATTTGCCTTTAATCTTCAAGTAATTTTTATGAAATACCTTCAAGTTCTAGGTAATTTCTGTATATAACTGTCATTTGTAATTAAGGTACACAGCCAAAATATGAAATAAATACAGGAATCATATAAATAAATTATCCACAATTAATCTACAAATCATCTACAAATTATTAACAAGACAACAATTTAAATACATTTAAACTACATTTAAACTACATTTTAACTACAAATCATCTACAAATTATTAACAGGACTACAATTAGACTAAATTTAAAGTACATTTTAACTACAATCTGGAAACAATTTACATTGAATGAATTCTTCATTAATATTAGTTGTTTTGTATATAGTAAATATTAAAGTTTAACTAAGCTATAAAAAAAAGACAAATTTAGATGCCTGACAGAATACATAAAATCATATTAAACGCAAATACACAAATTGTAGTATACTTCATAATCATCTTCAAAAACTTGAACGATTACACAAAAAAATCAGATAATTTGAACTCACTAACATTTATTTTGAATAACTATTCTAACTACATGATATTCATTTCTTTTTGGGCGCATTCTTGCAAGTTCTTTTGTTATGCCCTTCACCTCCACAATTTTCACATGACACCTTGTACTTCTTTGACTTTATTTCATCAAATATTTTATATCTTTCCTTGTGAGGTCTCCCTGGCTGCCTTTTATCTCCCGCCGGTGGCTTTACTACCTCATCCAAAATATGTTGTGGCACATCCCATTTGCTTTCATCAGGAAGAGGATTTACTGGCATTTCACAGGTAAGCAGAAGGCTCTTCCTTGTGTAATACGGAGAGCAATAGTTTTCGTATGTTTCCTTCATGTGCCTTAATGCTGCCAAAACATGCGCACATGGAAGTTCATCAAGTTGGAATTGTCCGCAGCTACATTTCTTATTTTCTAGACACACAATGTACCGCTTCACACCATCTAACACAGTATGCATATGATCTGTTGAAGCCCTCACCTACAATTGAAGAACAAACATAAATAATAATAATATATCAATCATTAAAAAGGATTATCCACAACTTACCTACAAATCATCTACAAATACATTACAACTTATCTACAATCTATAATTACCCACAATTTGACTACAGTTTATCTACAATCTGGAAACAATGCATATTAAGCAATTTATTTTTTTGCACCAAACAAACAGATCTTACCCTTAGTTTCTGAGATAATGTATTGTTGTTATCCAATTCTTTGTTGAATTTGTACCCAAGGTATGTAAAAGTACCCTTTGCCTTCAATAACTTCTCTTTCGTCCAACGTTCAAGAAGCGTCCTTATATACTCTAATAGATCAAATATTGGCAGCTCTCTTGCCTCTTTTGTTACAGCATTCAACGACTCGGCAATGTTTGATGTCATAGTAAAAGTTCTATTCATCGTTGTATGTACTCTTGGCCATCTATGATAGCCAATATCATATAGGTAAGATTTCACACGCGGGTCTACCTCTTCAATCTTCAATATCCTTTCATTAAATTCATCCAGAGTGTATGACTGTGCTGTAGCAAAGTACAATTCATGTAATTGTAAATGTCCCTTCTTGAATTTGGACCTTATATTTGTCCAAATATGCCACATGCAAGAGTAGTGTGGCATGCCCGGATAGACAATTGATGTTGCCTTCAGTATACTCTCATTCCTATCTGAAACAACACACATTGAAGGTCTTTCACCATATGCCTCCTTGAATTGCTCAAAGAACCACTTCCAAGACGCGTCGTTTTCAGAATCAACCACAGCATATGCCAAGGGAAATATAGTACCTACATTTTTAATTCATAAAATATTAATTGGCAGCCCTGAAAAGGTATATAAAAATATAATTAAATAACAACTACAATATATATTCAGAATATAGACAATTTATCTACACTTTTTTCCTTTAGCTACAAAATAACTACAATTTAACTACATTTTATAGAATGCCTACAAAATAACTACAAAATTATTACATTATTTACCTGCTGCATCCACGGTGCTTGCTATAAGCATAATCCCCCTGTAGGCTGACTTTAAGAATGTCCCATCAACCACTACTACTGGCCTACAATGTTGCCAACCACTTATTGATGTACAAAGAGCAACAAATGCGTATAAGAAGCAATCATCTGCTGTCTTCTTCAATTTAACAACAGAGCCATGATAAANAATCAGAATTCCGTAGCTTGCATTCTCATCTACCACAATGACATCAACTTCAAAATCTCTAAATTTGCTATAGTGATCCCAATTTCCATTCAATTTTAGCATTATTGGGATTTTTGATATGATTTCGTGTAGTTGAGAAAAAAAAGATGAAGAACAGATATAGGTTCGACAATTTGAGTACTGAGGTCGATGAAGAACAATTTTGAATTCTACAATTTGTATTGCCTTGTAGAATTTGTAAAAGCAATTTGAGTACTGGAGCTTCTGAAGCTTGCGTTGTTTTAGAATTGTAGTGAACGAGAGAATTACGCAGCAATGAGATCTCTTTCCGTTTCAAAATTCGAATTTAATGTGGAAAGAATCAAACGCAGATTTCGTGCCTTCTTTTTAGCGCGTTTTAAATGGCAGAATCTGCCTAATTATGGATTGGTATATAAATTATAGTAAAAGTGTGGACTAGGCAGGTAATTAACAAATTATGAACATTTTTGGTAATAAGGTTTCATATATGGTATAGATAAGAAAATATCCCCGTGAAAAAAAAAGAGAAGGAATTTTTAGAAATCACTATTATTTAGTGGCTATTAACTTTCTATAATTATCATATACATAATTACTTTTTATAACTATAATTCAGTTGTTACAGCAATGTATCCGGTGTATTCGCGCTGCTGTATTCATGAATAAAGCAGCAAAAAACGCCTAAAAATCAAGGTAATCCAGTTGTACGTGCATATATTCACATGTATTCGCGCCATGTATTTATCAATACAACAACAAAAATTGCCTAAAATCAGGCAGTATAGCTGTATGTGCATGTATTCACATATATTTGAGCTGATGTATTCATGAATACAGCAACAAAAAGCGCCTAAAATCAGGGCAATCCAGCCGTACGCGCACATATGCACGTGAATTTACGCCATATATTCATGAATACAGTAACGACAATTACCTTAAAAAATAGGTATGTCCAACTGTCTCATAACGGATATCAATTAGCGTGATACACTCGTAATATAACTTAACAAAATCAATTCTAACACGCCTCATTATAAACCCAATTAATTAGAATGATTTTTCAGTTGCACACAACTTTTTTATTTAGTGTTTTTCAACATATTTTTTACTATTGCATTCATTAGATTCAATGTTTGTATTTACTGTATTCGTTATTTTATATTCAGTGTATTCAAATGTATTTGTATTAACAATATTTTAATTATTTCTAATACATGTTATTACTACTGTATTCAATATATTTTATTGATTGTATTCAGTGTATTTCTATTTGTATTTAGTGTATTACTGTATTTCACTGTATTTTAAAATTAAATGTATCCATTGTTTATTTTATGTTCTATTTTAATATTTGTATTCAGTGTATTTCAATGTTTATATCATGTATTCGTGCATACTGTATGTAAAGCATGCATGAATACAGGTGAATTCAACTGTATTAAAAGAATACAGACATTCGAAATACATAAACACATGCAAAAAAATGTATTTATACAAAAATACAATGTATTTGTGTTATTGTATGTGACTAAATAGCAAAGAAGAGAAGAAAGTTCGTCGGATATGGCGTTTTTCGGTCAAGACTCCTTGTATCGCTTCACTACCTCTTTCATTACAATTTACAACGCTTCCAATTTGACCGCTTCTTCCTCTTTTCTCTCTTACTTACCGCGCTAAGAATCCCTCTTTCTCTTCAATCTCTTTGTCGCCTAAGGTATCTCCGCTTCCTTTTTTTATATTATAGGTTTACTTTCATGTTTTGAGATTTTTAGGTTGTCTTTCATGATTTGTTTCTCTTTCATGTATCTATGATTCGACCTATTTTGCTCTAAGAAAGAGAGAGAGAGAGAGAGAGAGAGAGAGAGAGAGAGAGAGAGAGAGAGAGAGAGAGAAGAAAAATATTGAGAGAGAATCGTGTTTTAATTGAAAGAAAGAGTGAGGAAAAACATAAATAGCGTATTTCATGCCTCAATTATAGTATATACTGTAAATACTTATTTTGCTATAAAATATAAAAGGTAGCCACAGAAAATAATATTTTAAAATAATGTTGGTTTATAATAAATAGGGTGTATACCTTTGCTATAGGAGATAAAATTTTCATAAAAAGAGAGGGTTTTTTTTTCACTTTTAGCCCGCGTATGAAATTATTTATATCTGGTAGTCGAAAAAGTATATAAAATTTGTATAATAATTTTTTTTGTATATA